GCATTTGGAGGGGGTTAGGTGTTTTTTGTTTTGTTTTGTTTTACCAGGAGCCCTAGTGCCAAAGTGGCTAAGCACTTGGGTACTTTATCGAAAGGTTAGTGGTTCAAATCTACCTACCGCTCCCCAGGAGACAGCCTTGCCATCCCTTTGAAGGAGCATTTAGGCTGCACTACTTCTTCTTTTTAATTTATGTTAATGAATGTTTACAGAGACTTTGGATTTCCATTCTTTAATTGTTGCATGTTCTTCTTCCAGGACAGTTTTATTTATCCTTCTAGTTCATACACTATAAAATAGAAACCATGTTCCTGGCTCCATCTAGCTTTTTCAAAATCATACAGTTCAGGGAATTGCTTAATAAGAATTAAAAAATGTCCTTTTGTGACTGTAGAGATTTTCCCCCGCCCCTGGCTTCCTTTTCTTTGTCCTTCATTCCCTCTTTTGACGCCGTGTCTCTCCATAGGAGGCTTTTTGGCTATTTAATGTCAAGTCTTGCTGTATTTAAATCCTGGTTATTGGAGGAAAGTTTGTTATAAATGACAGATAAGCCCCAAGTTCAAGCAGAAATAGGCTCAGACTTAACAATCCCTCCAATAGAGGTGATTCTTATAGACAACGCTGGGGGATGGTGTTGAACACCCCCACAATCACGGAGCCCAGCCACCTTGGAGGATAAAACGTTCATGGGTGTGTTAGAAGGGTCCAGAGGCTTCGACCACGGCCTTTCAACTCTAAAGAGTTTCCCTAAAGTTAGACTCCGGGATTCGGCTCCCACGGTAGAGTCAACACCGCTGCTTTGACAGGAGAGAGGCTTCCTCCAGACTCCCTTTGTACGTAGTAGATTGTAGGTCATCCTTAATTTTTTTTAACCTGACAGAAGAGAGAGGGTCGTTGACCTACATACAGAACCATTTCATTTTCTTACTCTTGATGACTGTGGTCCCCACACCTGGAGCCCAGCTCGGCTCCAGCCTCTCAGTCGGCCATTCACCGTGGGTGCAGGACTTAAAAACCTTTCAGTGTCTGTCTGAATGCCTGGGATTTAAAAAATAAAATAATAAAAAAAAAATATCAGTGCTTCCTTCGAAGCAGTGAGCTTCAGAATTCAGAATTCAACACACTAAAAAGGCAAGTGAGGCTTTAATCTAGGAGCTTTTTAGAAGAGATTGTTCCCCAAAAAGAAATTGCCAGTAAAGATACTCTTTCACACCACTAGCATGCAGCCTCACCCTATTTATTACGTGCTTCCTCTCTTGACCCCTTTCCTAGCCTAAGGGCATTACAATTGCAAGGAAGGAGTCCGTTTCCCAGGCCCTCCCTGTACAGGTGCCTTGAACTACTACACACGTGGAGGGGATGTGATTCCTACGAGCATCTTCATAAGCTGTGTACAGGTTTACTCTTTTCTCCAAGCTGCGTCAATTCGAGGATACAAAAATAATTCCTAAATCAGGGCTGGACACAGCTGATATCTTCTGGGGGTCGGGGAAGTCACTGGAGAAAAGGTCTCTGGACAATTCTTGTCTGTTTCTGTCTCAATGGGGGTGGGCTGGGACACCTGGGCAGAGAGACATGAAGTGTCATTTGCTTTATTACCATGTTGACTCTGTTGTGGTGACCGAGGACCGAATTAGTGAAATCCCTAAGGTCTGCTTATCTGCAGAATTTCTGCACATTCTGCCTTGGGTTACTGCGAATGCTGGCGGCTGACGTTACTAAGGTGCAGTTAACAAACAAACGGCTGAGCATTGCTTCCGTGCTGTTAAGCTGTAGACTTTACTTACATTTCACCAGTTTCCCCACTCACACCCGTTTCCCGTTTCTAGGGTCTAATCCAGGATACCATGTTGTAGTTAGAGAACTCAATTTTGAACTAGAGAAAAGAAAACACACATTGTTTGACTGCGTTTGAAGACGAGGCTGTGATGCATCGACCTCTGTGAGGCATCATGGCAGGTGTGACGTGACCGGAAGGAGCAGTGCCACCAGTGGGAGCCAGGTTCTGGGCTGAGGACAGGACAGCAAAGAAAGCAGTGGGGGCCAACAAATATGGGGGTAGAGAGACAACTAAAAAAAAGGAGGGGACAACTCAACGGCCGCAGGTCACAGAACCAAACCCCGCGAGACCATGTCCTGCATGGAGAGCAAGCACTGGGCCAAATTCAGTACCCAGTCACAATTGTTTAAAACCCAGCACGTGAGGACGAGAAGGGAGCTTTCCCAGGCTGAAAAAGATAAGGTACAAAGACTGACATAGAATATCATAGTTAATGCCGCGCGACTTTAATGCATTCTCCAAAGATCAGGGACAAAGAAGGAAGCCCACCCTGACCACCTCCATTCAGCATTGCACGGGGGTTCTGGCCAGTGTGACAAAGCAAGAGAAAGGGAAACAAGAAGTGAAAACACAATAAAAGTGGAATAAAAGTGATGGCGTAATAAAAGTGAAAAAGAAGCAAAATTGTGTTTATTTGCACATGACCTGAATATACCTGCTTTCCTATCCTATGGAATCTGTCCAGAGGTTCACAGAGCATCAAGAGAGGCTGTCAAGGTTGCTAGATCAAAGGCGTGGCCTTTGTGGAGGGATAAAGCTCAGAGGACAGGAAGGGACAGGCTACAGGCTGAGTGGAAATGAGAACCACAGGGAGGAAGAGGGAGAGTGCATCATGAGCACTTTGTTAGAGAGTGAAGCATGTGTGTGCGTGGTCGGACGGCGAGCTGATAGCTCTGTAAACTCATTCAAATCACAGCAACACCCCCTTCCTTTCTGAATCCTCACACTGAACTCGGGAGATACCTTTTAGGTGGCGTCACTGTCTTGACCACGGAGGGTCAGGCAGCCCTGTCTGCCTCCAGACCTTGTTGTCTGGGACCGTGTAGGACAAACAGTGGAGAACCTGCGAGGGTCACAGCACAGTGGGAGTTTCCTCCCCGAGAACTTCACAGCCTTGGAAACAGAGGGTCACTCTGAGCCACAGTCAGCTGGCTGCTGGAGGTTTTGCTTGGTTTTGGTTAAGCATAGGCCAGGCTCTTTGGTTTTGCCAGTTGTTGAACCAATTTCCCGTGCACGGTGACCCTGGGCATGCAGAATAGAAAGGCCCCAGAGAGTTTCCCTTGCTGTGATTTTTTTTTGAAGATCACCAGGCCTTTCTTCTGAGACTGATCTGGGTAAATTCCAATCATAGTGGGCTCTGGTGGCCTAGTGGCAAGAAACTGCTCTGCAATCCTGAAGGCACATGGATCGAATCCACCAGCTGCTCCACAGCGGAGAGATGGGCAATCTCTGTGGTTACCTGTCTCTGAAAAACCACGATGACTGGGTCACAACGTGATGGTACCAACAACCCTTTCAGCTAGTCAAGCACTTAGTTCTTTGTACCACTCAGGGACTCCTCCAAGCCGTTTACGTGAGTGTTTTTCAGAACTAGCAGTTCGAGAAACTTACTCTAAAGATGTAGCTGTCACTAGGTGACTCAGCAGCATTGTGGGTCACAGATCTCCGTGCTGCCCTGTCCTGTGGCACTCCTGCTCTGCTCACTGTGTCAGTCCACCTCTCTGAGGGTCTCCCCTCATTCACTGACCCTCCTCTCTGAGGGTCTCCCCTCATTCGCTGACCCTCCACGTTCCCAAGCATGGTGTCCTTCCCCAAGGACTGCCCCACCCTAACAACATGCCTCAAACACACAGATTCGCAGTCCTTGCCTCCAAGGAGAACCCTGCTCACACTTTCTCCAAGACATTCTTATTGTTCTCTCGGCACCTCCTGGGACGTCCAGCCCCCTCCTCCAGCACCGCAGAGACGCAGGAGATCGTACAGCTAAGATGACCACTTCGTCAGCATGTGCCCACACACAGGGATGACATCCCTACAACAGGCACCCAAGTCCAGGGAGACTGAGGGACAAGAGACAAGATCCTAGGACAAGGTGTCAGGACACGAACTTGGCACTTCCTTCCAGCCCTGATGTTCTGCTGCTGGGGGGACCCCTGGACATTGATGTTAACCCCTCTCTCTGACTTAACCCCCCCCCCCACTAGCCCATCATCTCTTTATGGGCAAGAACAGTAATTTGCCGCTTCTGCATCAATCCCTGGGTCTCTTGAATTACTCCAAACAATTTCTTTCTTTAATAGAGTTCTGAGACTTCTGTCCCAGTAAAATAAAAAGAAAAAAAATATATATAAAATGTTACTCTGCCGGGGCTAGAGTTCATTGAATGAAAGAAAAGTCCCGATGATACAGTCAAACCCTGGGACATCGTGTGGCCCTGCGGCCTCTCCTGCCTGGACCGGGGACCAAAGCTCTCCAAGGACAGGACTGGACGCGCCCCGCCCCCAACAGCCAGCTCAGCTCCCCTAGGGCCCCCGCCCAGGAGCTAACCATTTGTGTCACACTGTGACAATTATTCTGCATAAAATTATCATTAAAAACCCTAATTTTTCAGCCTCCAACCCTGTCAGTGGCCTTTTAGCATGATTCTGTCTGCGGTCCCTGATCACCCGCTCATTACCGCCGCGTGGCGTCTCCCCCACCGCAATCAGCACTAATTAGACCCACCCAGCCGTGTCGGGGGACAGAGGCAGGGCCAGGGCCAGGGGCAGGCGATGGGCGAGCCTGGCTGGGGAGGGCAGGGCCAGGGCCAGGGGCAGGCGATGGGCGAGCCTGGCTGGGGAGGGCAGGGCCAGGGCCAGGGGGCCAGGGCTGGGGAACAGGGGGCTGGGGACAGGTGACAGGGAGCCGGGGTCGAGGGGCTGGGGTCAAGGGACAGGGGCTGGGCTAGGGTTAGGGACAGAAGCAGGGGTCAAGGGCCAGGGGGCCTGGGTCAGGGGACATGGGATGGGGTTAGGGTCAGGGAACAGGGTCCTTGACTGGGGTTGGGGAACTGGGGGGAGGATTGGTGGGAGGATAAAGGGTTGGGGCCCAGGTCCCCTGCAGGGTCAAGGCGCATTCTGTTGTCCCTGTGGGGTCCGGGGTCCCAGGCCTGGTGGCGTCTTACCCTAATGAGGCGGCCGTTCGGCAGAGGTGCAGGGGCGCCAGGCCGTCGGCGTCGAGCAGATCAGGGTGTGCGTGGTGGTGCAGCAGCAGGCGGGCACAGGCCGTGTGGCCACCCAGGCAGGCCTCGTGGAGCGCACTGCGGCCACCCGGGCTGGAGTCAGGGTGGGCGCCCTGGGTCAGCAGGTGATGCAGGCAGGCGGTGCGGCCGCGGGCAGCTGCGAGGCACAGGGGCGTGGTCAGCTCCCGCTTGTATTCCAGGGTCCAGAGGCCTGGGGAGGGACATGTCCACTGAGGCCCAAGGGACAAAAGTGGCCCTCAGGTGCCAGGGATCAGGTGGGCAGGTAAGAGAGGTACAGTGACCCAGAGGTTTGGGGCCAGGGGACACAGGAATGGAGAGGGAGTGGGGTGGAGAGAGAGAGAGAGAGGGAGCCAGACAGAGATGAGGGAAAGACAGAGAAGGCACACAGACAGAATACAGACAGACAGATGGAGACAGAACTCAAAAGAGCAGCACAGGAAGAATACAGAGGCGCGAGAGAAAGCCCCAGAGAGCTAAGAGTGAGGGTGTGTGTACATGGAGGGATTGAGGTGCAGAGAGGAGAGGTGGGTGTGGGGGCCCCACTACTTTCCCTCATGTGGGGTGATATGGAATCCCAGCGGGGGTCGGGGGAGACACTCTGAGAGCAGGGACTGTGGGGACAAGTGAGCGAGGCAGCAGAAGGGAGGAAGGACAGGTGCTCACTGCCTGTGGATTTTTCTGGAACAGGGCCCCCTTTCCGCTGAGCCTTACGCATACCTGGTACAGCCATTAAGAGGAAAACAGTCAAAACAAACTGACCCACATCCCAAGTTTGCAGGAGGAAAGGCAGGGAACATTTCCGGGCTTGGTGACAGCTGCGTTTCAGACAGCTGCATTTCAGACCCGCTTTGATGTGGGGACAGCAGCCAGCACAATCCCGGTTTGTTTCTTTGCGCTTTTTAGGGTTCAGCGTGTGTGTATGGGGTTGCTCTTTCTTGAGGGATAAAATGGAGCCAGTGTTATCCATTTCACTTCTCTGAAAACTTTGGAGCTTTCAAAAGGCCGGTGCAGGTTGTTAGCTGTGCTACGGATGGGGGAGTGCGGTCCCCAGTGAACGCAGATCAAGGGACAGGATTTCACCGGCAGGAATGCCTTCTGGTAATGATGGAAGAATCAATACTGGGCGGTAATGAGCGGCGGGGGAGACCTGTGCACCGGCCACCTCCTTCCTGGGACCCATGCTGAGATGCTGTGAAAGACCACTTGTTAATTACCTAGCTCCAGGTAGCGCATCCTGCCGCCTGCAGAGGGCCTTGGAGGGCTGGGGGCTGGTCCACCCTTGTGCAGATGGACCTGTGGTCCCTGATGGTGGAGGGGTGGTGAACTGGGCCCAGGGTCCAACGGGAGAGCCAGCTGCCCTCCCTGCTTGAGACTAGGCTCTGACATGCAGGGTGATGGATACAGGCCTTGATGCTAACAATAGCCTGGTCTCTGGTTCTCGGATATGTTCCTCTGTAGATGTGAAGTGTACTCATCAGGACAAGAAGGGGTGCTCTGTTCTCTGGGCAGCTGAGCTCTCAGCCCCCAACAGCTCTGCTCAGCCACCCTTCTTTCTCAAGTCTTCCCATCGGCTCTGTAAATGGCTACAGCTGAGGTCCCTTTCCCAGTGCCCTGGAGACGGCCATGGGCAGCAAGCAGCAGGCCCTTGCGAGTGCCCAGGGCCTGAGGCTGGGCCCGTTTCCCACCAGATAGGACACATGCTCCCCACCTGAGGAAGGTGGATGGCTTCCTCTCACACAGAGCACACCCTGAACATCCGTCCCCAGACCCGCTCTCTCTTTGGACAGAAGCTGAGCGGTCCACTGAATGGGGACCCTTTATCCCAGACTTGATATCAAGAGCTATTGTGGACCTTGTCTTTGCATGGCACAGGGCAGAGGGCACTGCCACTTCCTACCCTGCCGTCCCAGCTTGATGTCAAGGCCCTGACTGGAGGCTGGCCTCTCCTTTCCACAGCAGTTGATTCAGCCACTGTCCCCTCCCCTGTCACTCTCCATCCTCTGACCTCTGGCCTGGGAGACTACCTTCATCACCGACGGTCACCTTTGACAGCCCCTGTTCTGTGCAGCAAGTTGGCTGAGGATACGGCAAGGGTCAGAGCTGCTGTTCGTACGAGTCAGAGTGGTTCCCTATGAGTCATAGTCGACTTGACAGCACACAACAGCAATAGTTATTGGAGTAGGGAGCTCTGGTGGGGGGTCCTTGTGCTGTTAACCCAAGATGGAGCCTCTGGGGGTTCAGCTCCCCACCCCCCACAGCTGCTCTGCATGACTTACAGCCTCTGAAAACACAGTGGAAGGTCAGCTGTGTGTTGGCTCCAACTTGACCACAACGAGCCGACTTGAAGATTATCTGAGTAGTTAGTAATGACCCCCCTGTCCGCAGTCCATCCTGCTCGCCGTCCATCCTGCCCGCCGTCCATCCGCACCTCCTCCCACCCTGCCCGCCGTCCATCCCCACCTCCTCCCACCCTGTCTGCCGTCCATCCCCACCTCCTCCCACCCTGCCCGCCGTCCATCCGCACCTCCTCCCACCCTGCTCGCCGTCCATCCCCACCTCCTCTAAGTCCACTGCTGCCCTGCCCCCTGTGTACCCCGTGTGCCATACGTCACCATGTGTTCCTGCTTTCCATGCCTTCCTGACTGCTCTGCTACTAAGCTGTATCTGATGTCCCACACCTTCGACGTCAGTTCTGACTCATAGAAACACTATAGGACAGTATAGAGCTACCACATGGGGTCCCCAAGGCTGTGGTCTTTGTGGGGGCAAACTGTCACAGCTTTATCCACTGGAGTGGCTGATGAGTCCCTCCCACAGACCTCAGACTAGAGTCTGTGCCACCAGGGCTCCTGTGCCCGACTTTAAGCAAGCGGCCACCAGCCAGCCAGCCAGCCAGCCACTAACCAGCCTGGCACCAGTTAACCCTCCAGCCACCAACTAACCAGCCTGGCACCAACTAACCATACAACTAGCAATTAACCAGTCAGCAGCTAACCAGCCAACCACCCACTAACCAGCCCACCATCCACTAACCAGCTTGCCATCAACTAACCAGCCAGCCAGCCACCAACTAATCATCCTGCCACCAACTAACCAGCCAGCCACTAACTAACCATCTTGCCACTAACTAACCAGCCAGCCAGCCACCAACTAATCATCCTGCCACCAACTAACCAGCCAGCCACTAACTAACCATCTTGCCACTAACTAACCAGCCAGCAGCCAGCAATTAATTAGCCAGGTGCCAGCTAACTAGCCAGCCAACAATTAACCAGGCAGCCACTAACTGAACACCCAGTCACCAACTAACCACCTAGCCACCAATTAACCAGCCAGGTGCCAGCTAACCAGCCAGCCAACAACTAACCAGCCACAAACTAATCACCCCGCCACCAACTATCAGCCAGCCACCCACTTACCAGCCAGCCAAGCCAGCAAACAAGCAGCCTTCTAACCAACTAGCCAGCTGACCAACAAGCAATCAACCAACCAGCTGACCAATCAACCCACCCACCCACCAGCAACTAACCAACCTGCCAATCAACCCAATAAAACAAGCACCCCCCCCACCCCGCCGCTGAGCCGGTTCTGACTCTCCGACCCCCTGCTGTGGTGTCTGAGGGTGTCTGTCAGCGATCCTGCAGTGGGGGTCTGAGCATGTCCGTCGGTGACCCTGCTATGGTGTCTGAGGGTGTCCATAGGTGACCCCACTGTGGTGTCTGAGGGTGTCCGTTGGTGACCCCGCTGTGGGTGTCTGAGGGTGTCCGTCGGTGACCCCGCTGTGGGTGTCTGAGGCTGTCCGTCGGTGACCCTGCAGTGGTGTCTGAGGGTGTCCGTTGGTGACCCCGCAGTGGGGGTCTGAAGGTGTCCATCAGTGACCTCGTTGTGGTGTCTGAGGGTGTCCGTCAGTGACCTCACTGTGGTGTCGGAGGGTGTCCTTCAGTGACCTCGCTGTGGTGTCTGAGAGTGTCCGTCGGTGACACCGCTGTGGTGTCTGAGGGTGTCCGTCGGTGACCCTGCTGTGGTGTCTGAGGGTGTCCGTCGGTGACCCCGCAGTGATGTCTGAGGGTGTCCGTCGGTGACCCCGCAGTGGTGTATGAGGGTGTCCGTCGGTGATCCTGCTGTGGTGTCTGAGGCTGTCCATCGGCGATCCCGGCGATCCCGCAGTGGTGTCTGAGGCTGTCCGTCTGTAGTGCAGGACATATTTCTTGCTCAGACAGCTAGTTAGCACATATTTGTTAGAGCAAGTGCAGTGTACCAGGAACACCCCTTCCCCGAGGGGCAGTTCTCTACACAGAGGCAGCCCTGAGTTGCAGTGACCACTGACAACAACAGCTGAACCCTTGGCCTTTTGGGTGAGTTGCTATGGCAGCTGTCTGGAGAGGATGCCTGCACCCTGATCAGGTGGGTAAGGAGAGGAGGGTCGACAGGCCTGGGGCCTCCCTCACTGGGAGCTGCAGGTCTAGTCAAGGTTCTGCTGGTCTTCCCCACAGCCGGCCCTGTGACCTACATAGCCCTCTCTGGGCTGGGGCTCCCCTCCTGTGTGAGGTGAAGCTGGGCCTCTGCATTCCCTGCCTGCAAGCTCTCGGATGTCAGATGGCACTGCCCTGGGCCCCTGACTGCAGATTCTAGGTCTGGTCTACTGAGCTGCCTTCACACTTGGGTCTTCTTCCAGCACATGGACCCTCTGGGTAAATGTGGCACACCTGGATAAAGTCATGTCACCAAAGTGGCCCAGGGCTGAGCGTGCATCTCCCCTGAACCGTCTCCCCAGGAGGAGGTGGTGGGTTCCTGCATTTTGGGGGACCCTGCTTGCCCAGCACAGATCGACCATGTTCAAGTGAGAAGAGTTACCAACGTCCACAATCCAAACGTAAACACCAGCCCCTTCACATGGAGTCAACCCTGACCCACAGCGCAGTACAGAACAGGTAACTGCCCAGGTGGCGTCCACTGCTGGAGGTCTTTGCAGGAGCAGGCTGCCATGTCCCTCTCCCCAGGGGTGCCTGGTAGATTTGAACCACTGATCTTCCAGTTAGCAGAAGAACACTTTAGCCACTGTACAGCTAGAACTAATTTTTTCTGCCCCTTTGCCTGCCATTCTCAGGCCCCCCAGGTTCTGCAGCCCCTCCTGTGTGGACGTGGCTGTGTCCCACTTCACCCCTGCAGCAGCTGGGGTCTTCAGGAATTCCTCAAAAGGCCTCCTGCACCGAAACATGCCAGGGCCCTGCTGTCCTGACAGCCCTTGGGGAGAGCCAGCCTCTCTGCCCCTCCCAGGCTGCCTGGATTGGGCACTGACTGATAACCCCAACAACACTCTAAGAACAGACACTTGAATCAGAGGGCAGTTCTGACCCAAAGACCCACCTTTCCGATCTGACCTCCCATCTCCCAAAGCCTGCATCTTAGAACATGTGCGCACTCCCTCCAGACCCCTTTCTGGCTGTGCCTTGGGTGTTGGGAGGGGTCAGCAGTTCCTCAAGTGCTGAGTTTGGGGGGAAACAGGGTACCTGAGAGTCCAAAGGTGGCTGGTGACTTCACCTGCCACTCCATCTCATCGCTATGAATCTCAATCACCACGTTGGCATCTTGGAAGAACTGGTCCATGAGGAGCTGAAGGTGGCTCAGGTCCCCTGTGACCAGGGCAGCGTGGTACTGGAGGATGGGGGGCCCAGCCCCAACGGGAGGCCATTTGTCCTGATTCTGGACGAGCTGAAGTTTTACCGCCGCTGGCTTGGGCTGACTCCCCATGGCAAATGCAATCGATCTGGGCGTTCTCCGGAGGCTCGCACGGTGCGTGTGCTATTTCTATTGTCATTACTCAGTTGTCATCCAGTTGGGGCTTGATGGTGGTGTATTTATAACTGCTGTGGGCTCCAGTGTGATAATGGTTACTTGATACGAGGAGGGTCACGTGACCCCTGAGGGGCTGCCATGCTGGGCCACCACCTTGTGATTGTACAGATGTGGGTCCTGCAGAGTGGACATCTGTTCATCTAAAAAATAGCACTCTCCCACGACACATCTGACACCAAACACGCCCTTGACCATGACACCTCTTATCTGCTCTCTGCCGGACCTGGTGGTTTCCTAGTCTGGATTGTTGCTGTTTTAGATGCTGTTCTGGGACCCTGTGTGCACCAGAGCCAAACACTGGTCCGTTTGCTCCATGCTAGTCATCTTTTTTGTGTTTAAACCCACTCACTACTGCAACCAGAGTGTCTACCCACCTTGTGAGGGTCTTCCTCTTTCCCGTTGGCCCTCTGCTTCACCAAGCATGATACGTAGCCTCAGTCCACCCCACAGACCAATGCTGAATGATGGAGGACCACCACTGGGTTTCCTACGGCACAGATCTTCACCGGGGGAGACTCCTCGTCTACCTTCAAAGGAACAGCTGCTGTGTTCAAGCTACTGATCTCGTGCGTAACCATCTGTGCTCCCAGGTCTTCTCAGACGGAGCCTTGAAGAGCATTTATGCTCTACGGTCCTGGCTAGGTTAAGTGACTAATGTGTAAATATTCCAGTCACCGAAACTCTTTACAAATACTTATTGAGTCCTCTGGTTAGGAAACCAGTGAAACTGTCTTAAGCTGTTTCATAGAAGAAATTTGTTCATGAAATATCTTATTGAATTTGACCTAAAATCTTAGTCAAACCATGATGTATAATATTTAAAATTTGGGGGGAAAATTCTTACACAAACATATATGAGATATTCTGACTGCTTTTTAGAAATGATTATATTGTCTCCTTCCTAGCAACAAACTCGTGAAGGAAGTAGATTATTAACCACAAAGCAATTTTGATAAAATAAAATTTCAAAGAGTTTGCTGCACTTGAATCAATAGTCCACACCCTCGGGAGCGGTAATCAAGAGATCAAACTGAATAGCACTGGGCGAATTTGCTGAAAAGACCTGAAAAATCTTAAAAAGTAAAGATGTGTGCTCACTTTGGCAGCACATATACTAAAATTGGAACGATACAGGGAAGATTAGCATGGCCCCCGTGCAAGGGTGACGCACAAATCCGTGAAGCGTTGTGAGTGTGAATGCTGGACAGTGAAGAAGAATGCAGGTGAGTGAACGGATGTGAGCCATGATGTAGGTGAAGAATAGTGAGTAGACTGTGGGCGGGCAGAGTGAACAAATCCATCGTAGAAGAGATGCAGACAGCACTAAGTTCATTCATCTCTGACCTCACGTAAATACGTAAATACGCGTCGCACCTGTGACTTGGTGCACACCTGTGTGCTACCTGTGACCTGGTGCACGTGTGCCATCTGTGACCTCATGTAAATATGTGTGGCACCTGTGATGTCGTGCACACCTGTGTGCCACCTGTGACTTAGGTACATGTGCGTGCCGCCTCTGAACTAAGGCACACAGCTATGCTGTCTGTGACCTCATGCACATACGTGTATCACCTGTGGTCTCATTCATGCACACACGTGTGCCACTTGTGGACTAATGCACACGTGTGTGTCATGTATGACCTCGTGCCCACAGGTGTATGACCTTATGCACTTAGTAGCAAAATCAGGTAGATGTGACTGAGACCCCGTGGTCTGGAAAGCAAGAGAGTTCCCCTGGCTCTTTATACGGGTACCTGGTGGCATAACGGGTTAGGTGCTCGACTGCAAACCTAGCAGGTGGGCAGTTTCAACCCACCACCTGCTCTGAGGGAGAACATTGAGGCCGTTTGCTTCCGTAAAGATACGCAGCCTTGGACACTCCATGGGCAGCTCTCCTCTGACCCACAGGGTCCTGTGAGTGGACTGACTGGAAGGCAGTAGATGTGGGTTCTTTATAGAAGTGGATTCCTGGTCCAGGGGTGAGGGATGCTGGTGCAGACCCCACAGTGAGCGGGGTAAGTCTCATAATTGACTGTGACCTGAAACCACTGAGAGGATCCTGGTGGCGGAGGACATTGTGCATCAGGCTGCTAACTGGAGAGTCAGCGGTTCTAATCCACCAGCCCCTCCAGGGGGGAAAGGTGAGACTGCCTGCTTCCTTCTGGAAAGATTTACAGCCTCAGAGCCCTGTGGGCAGCGCCATTCTGCCCAAGAGCTTCACTGAGTCAGAAATGACTCACAGCAGTGAGTTTGTTGCGGTTTTCCCAGAAGGAGTACAGTTTCAAAACCGTTCATTCTTACTCACGATGGCGCTTTGCCTCTAGCAGCTGTGGAACTGGCTCCCGCCCGTCCTGCCCCCACACCCAGAGACTGAACCCTTGCCCAGTCCTGGCCAGCGCTGTGGGGACTAGACCTTCGGGACCCACGGGGATTTCACTGGCTGGTTTTGAGAAGTGGAATGGCAGGCCTTGTCTTCTAGTCTCAGTCTGGAAGTTCCACTGACACAGCTCAGAATCACAGCCGCGCACAGGAGCGAGGTGAGCAGGCTGGGACTGAAGCCCAGGTCCTCTTAACGAAGAGAGAGCCGCCTCCCGCAAACCACCAGTGAGTCCTTTGGACTGTGTGATCTCAGGTGCCCATGGACGCTTTCCCTCATCCGACCCCGAGTGAGTAGAGAGCAGAGCAGCCCATCAGGAATTTCTCGGCTGTAATTATCATTAAATTTTGTCTCATTTACTTGGGTATGTTTTCTCTTATGGAGGAAGATATTATTCTGGGAAAGGTGGGCGCTGAGTGAAAGAGAGGGAGACCTTGCATGAAGACTGGCACAGTGACCGGTACAGTGACTGGTACAGTGACTGGCACAGTCTCTGGTACAGTGACCGATGCAGTGACCGGTACAGTGACTGGCACAGTGACCGGTGCAGTGGGCTGGAGTGTGGTAGAGACGACGAGGACACCACAGGACAGTGCAAGGCTCAGATCTGCTGCTCACAACGTCCCTAAGGGTTTAGTTGACCCGCCTGCACCCAACAACAATAACAGCAACAGCAGCCACCGTTATGGTGCCTATCCCCAGGCCTTTCCCCTGTTGAGCCTCTAGTGGGTTCAAACCACCAACCTTTTGCTTAGCAGTCAAGCACTCACCTGTCGTGCCACCAGCTCAGTGCTCATTACCTGTAATGCTAATTGTTTACTACAATTTAGTTCAGAGCTTTATAACATTCAAATTGGCTCCCTTAGAAAAATTATACCATAGACAATAACAATTCCCATATTTTCTTTCCAGTGCACCTCTCTCTTCCCCACCCCACAGGAAGATGAGCTGGTTGGCGAGGTGAGTGGCAGAGTCCCTGGCCTTACCCAGGTGAGGAGCAGTTGTACGTGGCACAGGCTGGAGGCCGGGATGCCTGGGAGGGCAGACAGGATGAGCTGTGTGGCGCACTCCAGAGTTTACTCCTGGGGAGACTTGGCCGGGGCTGTGTGAAACCCGGAGTCCTCCACCCCCACGAGGCTCTGACTCTTAGAACCTGTGTCCAGGATCAGCCACATCAAACACACACCAGCACGGAACAAACAGAAAGATTTGGGGCCTGAGAATGGGGCTTGTCAGGGCTTTCCACGTCTGAGCTTCTGAGAGTCTGTCACTCCCACCCTCTCTTCACCTCCTCTGCATACAGAGCCATCCCGGATGCCCCCCCCGCGCTCTAAGCCCCCAAAGCTGTCCACCTCCAGCTAGGCTCTTGGTTCTGAAGAGTCACCCAGTGTGTGGGATGTCTTCTTTGGGGAGAGTTTCCACAGCAGTGGGGGCCCTGGAGAGGCTTCAGGAGAGGGAGGAGAAAGATGCATTTTCTCCTGCAGTTCCGTTCTGCACAGGCGTCTGGGCGCTTGCGACGTGTCTGATGGATAAGCACAAACACCTGTGCGTGGACTGGCCTGAACCCCAAGAGGTGTGTCAGCTGACAGACAACACAGGCAAATGAAGTTTCGTGCACAGCCCTGCAACAGCAACAGACCCGAGAGGCTGCCCAAACAGACGCACAGGCGTGGGGAGGTGGGGAGAGGGTAGCAAACACGCCCCCGACCACATGGAGGCTTATAGAGGGTGTTTCTACACAGTTATCCAGCCAGTAGAGCAGATGGCGAGAGGGCAAAGTTCTGAAAGCTACTTGGGCCTAACCAAAAGCCCTGAAATGACTCATTGGAGGTGGGGCCTCACGAGGCATGAGGGTCTCATGGGATGTGGGGGACTCACTGGGCATGAGGGCCCACATGGTATGGGGGGCTCATAAGGCATGGAGGTTGATGGGGTGTGAGGTGGCTCCTGGGGCATGGGGGCTTACTGGTAAGGGGGCTCACTGGACATGGGGGTGTGGGACCAGCCATAGTCTCAAGGGACGGCTATGTCAACTGGCATGACATGGTCTCCAACATAGCGCTCTAGGTCCTCAATTGTCTAGCCTGAGCATCACAGGGGTCTTGAAAGCTTGTATTGGGCCATCTAAGACACAAATGGTTAGTTTCCCCATGTCCTGACAGTGAAGAAAAGATTCCAGGGGACACTAAGTCCCCAGGACAAATGAACCACTGGACCCTCAGCTGCCAGCGACCCGAGACCAGAAGAGCTAGGGGACACACTGTTCCCTCTAATGGCTGCCCAGGCTGGGAGCGTGGACGGTTCTGGACCAAATCGGAGAATAATTCTAAAATTCAAATGTCCTAAAAAAAGACCACACACTTACTGGCCTGGTAGAGACTGGTGGAAGCCCTGGGGCTG